TCGGCCTGGCTCTCTCTGTCCAGGGGTCTCTCTGTTACCAGGGTGTAAAAATTTTCTAAGGAAGATTTCAGGAGAAAGGGTAGATCGTCCTGAATTGTGCAATTTATTTTCCCATTTTCTTCCGAATCAAGATCTGAAACACTGAGAACTGCAACCATAGCCTCTGGCGAGTTCTCAGGTATGTGTCTAGTAAATGCAGACATGGTGATTTCTGGGGCATTGTCGTTCACATCCAAGACTTGAGTCAGGACGGTGCATTTTCCAGAAAAGCTGCCAGAATCTCTGGCCTCAATATTGACTTCATAGAACTGTATTCTTTCAAAATCAAGTTGTTTTTTAAGTCGAATTTCTCCCGTCATGGAATTGATTTCAAAGGTTTTGCAAATCTCTTCAGAAGCCTGGAAAAGTGAATAGGAAATCTCTCCGTTGACTCCTATGTCTGCATCCGTAGCAGAGACTGTGACAATCAGGAAGCCTATCGGACTGTCCTCAGGAACTTTCACCCTATAGAGAGACTGCTCAAATTCAGGGGCGTTATCATTGATGTCCACGACTTCAATGTTGATCTGAGCGATGCCAGACCTGGGTGGAGAGCCGCCATCCTGAGCTGTAAGGGTTAACCTGAGCTCAGGTTCCTGCTCTCGATCTAGCGCTTTATCCAGCACCAACTCAGGATATCTGCTGCCATCACTGCTCTTGCGGGTGAGGACGCGAAAATAAGAGTTGGGACTGATTATATAGGTCTCAATATTATTTCGGCCTACGTCCACATCCTGAGCGTTCTTCAGTGGAAATGTAGTTCCAGGTGGACTGCTCTCTGATATTTTTAGCAACATATCTCTGTCTACGAATACTGGGGAATGGTCATTTATGTCTATTACTTGTAGCTCTGCTTGAAAAAACTGTAAGGGATTTTCTAGCAACACCTGGAAACGCAGCACACAGGGGTCTGTGTGACCGCACAATTCCTCCCGGTCCAGTTTCTCATTTAGCAACAAATCTCCAGTCTCCTGATCCAGCTTCAAATGTAGTTTGTTCCCTTTGGAAATAACCCTTGCCCCACGCTTGGAGAGTTCCCTCTGACCCAGACCTAGATCCTTTGCTAAATTGGTTACAAAGGAGCTACCCTCGGTTTCCTCCACCACAGAATAGCGCCTAGGTTCCATACCCGCCTGAGATAAGCCCAAGAGGACAAAGAATAAAACGACTTGCCTTTGTCTGCAAATGAACTTCCCACTGGCCTCCATTGTTCTTGACTGGTAAAGCCTCCCTCCAGGGTGGTTCTGCTGAACTGTAACGACTTCAGTATCCGAGACTGTGGCTCTGTCACAGGATACCTCAAAAATATTCCAGTGAGTGGTCCTTATCAAAGGACCCAGTCCTCCTCCAGTGGCATCCAAGCTTCCCGTGGCCTTCCAGGTTCTGTTGCTTAGTTTTGCCTGTTAATGGTGCTGCAGCTGCGGTGCTGGTCTGTACCGTCTTATCCTGCAGCGCCACCAGGCGTCCTCATAGGATCTTACATTTTCTGGGATGAAAAATGATGCAGTATTCCCAACTCTTGCCTGTATGTACTATGCTGAGTCTTACCTTTACTATCCCTGGACTTTACGGTGCAGACAACTGTCTGAGAGCCAAAAAAGAGAAATAACACTAGTAAGGACTTTCTACTTTCAATAACGCTAAGTGAATTTGGAGCAAAAAGAAAATATTTATGTAACAGCCTGGCTAAGAAGAAAACATATACAATTAAAATATACAACTGGAGGGGTGCCTGAGTGGCTCATTGGTTGAGCGTCTGACTTCAAGTCATGATCTTGTGGTTTGTGAGTTAGAGCCCCACTTTCAGCTTACTGCTGTCAGCACAGAGCCTGCTTCAGATGCTCTGCCCCCGCCTCTCTCTCAAAATTAAACTCATATATATATAGTATATAGTATATGTATTATGTGTATATATATATATATACACACACACACATATACATACACACACACAATTGGAGTCATATAGAAAACTTTCAGAGTTACAAATTTTTATTGCCAAGAACTATGGAAACTGCTAGCTATGAAACTTGGACAAATTATTTAACCTCTCCCAGTTTTCTCACTTGTAGGGTGGAGATACTAAGAGTGTATACCTCATAGGGCCGCCTTGAGTTTCCTCACTTTACAGATGAAGATACTGAGACAGAGAGAGATTAACTTTACACACACACACACACACACACACACACACACACTAAGCATGTAATTTGATGCCATTAGGTAGCAGAGTTTACATGAGTCCATTGCCTTGACTTGAAAACACCCAAGATTCATGTGGTAGAAGAATGTATGAGCAGGATTACTCAGAAATTATCGTATCAAATGATGAAACAAGGAAAGGCTGGAGAGTTTATCTAAGAGAGATATAATCTGTAACTGCAGTGGTGATTTCACATCTCAGATGGATGTCCTAATTTCATTAACTTCCCTTCTTACAGTGTCACTTGTAAAAACTTTTTATTATGAAAAATTTCAAACCCCATAAGGAAGAACTGTATGATGAATCTCCAGGTACTCATCACTAGCTTCAACAGTTCTCAATATTTTGCCATTATTGCTCACTCTATCTGCCCATCATTTTCCGATCCCAAACTAAGTTTTCACCCATAAATACTTCATTATAGATCTCCAACTTTTAATACTTAAAAAAATAAAACAACTATAATGCCATCCCCACACCTAAGAAGTTAGGTTAGCATTATTTAATATCCACTTAGATTCAAATTTCTCTAATTCTTTCAGTTGTTATGGTTGTTTGAATCAAGACCCATCAAGCATTATATTTGCTTGGTATGTGTCTTAATTTCTTTCATTGTGTAGACTTCCCTCCTCCCTTTTTCCATTTCATTGATTTGTTGGAAAAAGGATAATTTTACCCTGACACCATGAACACAATTTAGGATTTTACTGCCATGAGGGGTTTTTCTTTTGCCCTTAGACTATATCCCATTAGTAATTCATAGTAGCAGTACTATTTTAAGAGTTACCAGCACTTAGCATATAATACATTCAGAATACAGCTATGTAGAAATTATCTGAATAGTTGTTAAAGAAAAAGCAGTGGCAGATTATTATAGCAAGCAAAACTTCTCATTAACTTTCCAGAATCTCTAAGCAATTTAATGACAATTTGTTTCTTTAATATGACATATTTAAAACTATTCTTTTTCTTATATTTCCCTGATTCATCACTGCAGTATATTGAATAGGAAGTTTTAAAATTAACTTTAAAATTAAGGAAGGAAAATGTGTTTTAAAAGTAGGTAGGGACCACTGTAGAAAAGTTATTGCAATGTGAGGAAAAATAAACTAATGAAGCAATCAAACTGATGTATTATTTCTATTCAGGGTCATTAAGTTTTCTGTGATATGAAAGTCATATGTTCAGATAACAAGGAGAAAGCACAAATGGATCCTTCAATATTTTTTAACTTAAGCTTTGGTCAGATCACAGCTCTAATAATAATAGTTGAATAATTGATCCAGAAAAGCTGGCTTATTGGTATGTGAGAACATATAACCACAGACCACTACACACATTATTATCTCCAAATGTAGAAAACACTCAACAGGAATACTAACCTGAGAAGATTCTTCTCCTTAATTAGGAGAATCTTGCCAGGTGATATCTAATGACAGAAAGCAGTATAGCATCATAGCAAGATCCCAGAGTCAGACACATCTAGGAGAGATGCTCAGCTCTACCGTTTATTAATTGCTGACCCTAGTGAACTCGCTGGGCCTCTATGAATATCTATTTGCTCATTTCTAAAACACCTTACAGATTTACTTCTAATATTAAAAGTGTTAAAATTGTGTATGATGCATAGTAAGCGTTTTTTAAAAAGCTTTAAAAGATACTATCTATACTTCTAAAACTAAGAGTAGGTATACTACAACACTCCAACTCAGAAAATAAGAGTAGCAAAATTTTAAAGACAAAACCAACTTAAAACATCATAAACAAGATTAATCACGTAATAGGCTGCAAAAAATGCACAATTGTTTGAGATAAAATATAACACATATACATTGCATGCTTTGTGGAAGTTTCCTAGGGCTAAAGCTGGATCCGTTTCTCTGTAAAGAAATTTACCCTGACTTTAAATAATATTAAAGCACTCCTCTACAGGTAACTCAGGACGAATTTCATAATAGAAAAATATTTACAGACACAATATGGACATTTATGTTCCATCCCTTATCAGAAACCCAAATCATTCTGAAATGAGGGATATCCTTCCACTTCCTTTCTTGTACTTTGAAACTGCAGATTAGGGATAATGGGCTTGAGGAACTTGAACTCGCTGGTCCCCGAGCCTCCCCGCAGACACACCTCGTACTGGTAGCTCTGGGACAGCGTCCC